TCCGGCAACGGATCGCAACCCTCAGTGTTGCCCCCGCACCGGACCTGAGACCGGCAACGGGATCGCAAGCCTCGGTGTTGCTCCCGTGCCTCGCTCAGCCAGTGAGCGGCAGCCGGTCTGCATGTGGGATCCGAACCCTCGGACGGGAGCGCCGCCGCGCTTCCCAAGCGGCGCACTCTCCAGTGCGCCACCGGGCCGGCCCCCTAATGAACATGATTTTTAAAAAAATAATAATTCATTTTCCTTTTTTGTAAATCAGGTATTTATGGCTGCCAACTAGATATTCTGATCAGCAGGAAATAACCAGTGTTATTACAGTGAATAATTCCTGCCAGAAGCTAACACAGAAACAAATCAACATAAAGCTTTAGTTATGGAGTGGTGGTGTGAAGCTCTAATACCTTTGGATGTGTGGTTTCTGTTATCCCTTAGTACCAAGAATAGTTCTTGGGTGCTGCCTCTGAGCACTCTAGGGCTCAAGGACCCCTAGCTAGAAAACTGAGCTAGGCCAACCCTTTTATTTTCTGTATGAGGAAACTGAGGCCCAAGGAAGTTAAGCGATGTCACCAAAACAAGGACACAGGTAAGTGTCTAAGATAGTATAATGTTTGGGCTTCCTTATCTGAAGTCAGGGCCTTGAGGAACTTAGGTAGAATATGTGGCTTTTCTTATAGGGCAGAGACCATTGAGTATTTATATCTTTATCCCCACGGGAGCTAGCACAAAACATTATACATAGTAAGTGCTTATTACATCCTTGTTGGATGAGTGAATTCCAACCCATTAGCTGCCTAGGGAGAATGAACACCTGCAGCGAGAGAGCAGCTGGCCAGTAAGTCTATCAACCTCTTTAACATGTTCCTTCTTTGTCTCTTGACATTTCCCCCCTCACACTCCCCATACTAAACTTTTTCCTTGCCTCTGAATCTTATTGTATGAGCTCCTTTTACATGGCAGTCCCTCCCTCCTCTCTTCCTCCTAACTGGCTAATTCTCCTTCCTCCAGGAAGTCTTCTCTGACATCCTCTTCACCCCTCCCCCCAATTGGTCAGGCTCCCTTCTGGTTTCCCACAGTACAGTGGTATTTATTATACTGTTTCAGGAGGAACTGACAGCCCAGTTTCTGCTCTGAGCTGCCCACTCTCTTCTATGGACAGACACAGTAACAAAGGAAGTTTATGTTGCTGTCATTGGGTTACTAGGGGAAACCTTTAAAATTAGCATGGGTCAGGGAAAGCTGCCAGGACCTGAGGGAGACATTAATCCAGCCTCTCCCTTTGGTAGCATTGGAGTGAGGTTCAATTCGCCCACTACACTGTATCATACAGGGAATTGCATTTTATGTGGGATTGTTAACTTCAGCACCAATAAAAAATTAGTTGATATGTAATTTTTTTTGGCGGGGGGGCTGGCCAGTACAGGAACAAAGTTAGTTTATATAGCTATTGCTTCCTGATTAATGTCAAGTGAAAAATTAGTTTATATTCGGGCCGGCCCGGTGGCGCACTGGATAGTGCGCCGCTTGGGAAGCGCGGCGGCGCTCCCGTCCGAGGGTTCGGATCCCATGTACAGACCGGTTCCCGCTCACTGGCTGAGCGAGGCGCGGGAGCAACTCCGAGGCTTGAGATCCCGTTGCCGGTCCCCGGTCCGGTACGGGGGCAACACTGAGTGTTGCGATCCGTTGCCGGACATGGAAAAAAGATAAAAAAAAAGACAAAAAAAAAAAAAAATTAGTTTATATTCCAAATTCTCCTTGGATAGTTCTTTATTTTTTTTTTCCTTTTTGTCTTTTTTCGTGACTGGCAACGGATCGCAACCCTCAGTGTCGCGCCTGTACCGGGCCGGGACCGGCAACAGGATCGCAACCCTCGGTGTTGCGCCCACACCTCGCTCAGCCAGTGAGTGGCCAGTCTGTATGTGGGATCTGAACCCTCGGCGGGAGCGCCGCCGCGCTCCCAAGCGGCACACTGTAGCAGTGTGCCACCGGGCCGGCCCTCCTTGGATAGTTCTTAAATTATCCATAAACTTTTGTATTCCAACACTACATCAGTTTCTGTACCTCTTCAATAGTCATTGCTTGCTCTGTGGTTCTCAATTATTATTATTATTGTTATTATTATTATTATTATTTTATTTATTTATTTTTTTAAAGATGACCAGTAAGGGGATCTTAACCCTTGACTTGGTGTTGTCAGCACCATGCTCTCCCAAGTGAGCTAACTGGCCATCCCTATATGGGATCTGAACCCACAGCCTTGGTGTTATCAGCACCACACTCTCCAAGTTGAGCCTGTGGTTCTCAATTATTAAGTGTGTTAAGGTTTAAAACAAGTCCTGAGTATCTTCTTGCCTGGTCACCTGACAATGTGTCACTTCTTTGTCAGTGATTATGAAAACTTAAAACCATTCACACATCGCCCCAGCCCCTAACCCTTAATTTCAAGTTTGATTTTGTCTGTCTCTTGTTTATTGCATTGGAATCCTGCACTGTATACAGTCATATTGTGTTTCTGTTGCTTATAACAAAATACTTGACACTGGTTGATTTATAAAGAAAATGAAATTTATTGCTTATGGTTTCAGAGGCTACGAAGTCCAAAGCCCGGGGAACACAGCTGATGAAGGTCTTGGTGGTGACAACAATGATGGCAGGGTATCACATTGTAAAAATGGCAGAGCAGAGAGAGCAGAGACTTTCTCATTAACTCTCTTTTTAAAGCCCTCCGAACCACGCCCATGACCACCATTTTTAATCCATTCATTACTGCATGGTCCTACAATCTAATCATCTCTTCAAGGCCCCACCTTTCAATTACCATAATAGGATTTCCTACCCTCTTAACACTGTCACCGTGGGAGTCAACTTTTGGGGGGACATTCAACCCAAGGAAATGGTTAAATTCGTGAAAATTAACAGCATTACTTCCAAGTAATTGTTTTTTCAATATTGTATCCCAGTGGGTGAGCCAGGGAAAGTTTCACAATGGGGTGACTTTGAAGGCTGGATGGGATCTGTCAGGTGAAAAGGAAGGGGAGGGGCAAGAACTGAGGCGAGAGCATATACTAAGTCAGAGGCAGGGAAGAGTTTATGCTTGAGGAACAGTCAGAAGCTCAGTGTAAGTTAGAGGATAAGCAGCGTGGGGAGAGAGCAGCAGGGTGGGCTGTTAGGGACCCTGTCAGGCATGTTACTGAACCTGTTGGAGACACAGTTTCTTCCTGTCGTGATGGAACAGTACCTGCCTCTAGGGGTGGTCTGAGAACCAAGGGAGACTACCATGAAAGTGCTTAGTACAGGCCTGACACAAGGAGATGCCAAAGTAACACAAGTTTCCTTTCTTACTTTCCTTCTTAGAGTTTGGACTTTATCCAATAAGCAGGGGTGAGATTCAAAATATGTAACCACCAGTACAACCCAGGTATCACCCTATCAAAATAGATGTGGGTCCTAAACAACAAATCTTGTAGTACAGATGGGTGCCTGCTGATGATCCGTCCTGCCTGACAGCAGTAAGGAACCATCAGAGATTTTTGCACATTTGAACACCATGGATGTCCTAGAAAAAGAACTCTGGCTGCAAACTGGGGGAAGGTTGACTACAGGAGAGACACTGGAAGAAGAGAGGCCCATTTAAAGGCTAAAAATTACTTGAAGACCCTGATAGAGAACACCTGGCACTTGGTGCCATTCAGACTGAAAAGTCTGTGAAGTCCCAAACTCATCTAGCTGAGAAAATTCTTTTTGGGGGTGAAGTGTCCCCAGCTAGAGTGAGGGAAAATACTGACATAGGAAAAATCCAGCAACCCTGGGAAATGTTAGGTCCTTGATATCCTCTAGGATTTTCTCCATATCTAGTCTTTATTAATCCATCCCATAGCCAAAGAAGCTAAGTTTACTTATATTTGTGGATGTATTATGTGGCTGGCTCATGCTACCCTAGAGAAACCTGAACTGGAAGGGAAGGGAGCTAACATGCCAGGTGTTCTATGAATTATCTCTTTTGACCCTCACTCAGTCTTGGGAGATAAGGTATCATTAGATGCACTTTATTATTGTGGAAACTGAGGCTTTGGTCATTGACTGATTCCTCAACAGGTGGTGAGAGGCTTCTAGCCTAGGTCAGTCTTGCTCCAAAGTCTGCTCTTTACTCTGTCTTCCTGGGCATCTGGAATCCTTCTCCTCTTCAGTTTAAGCTTCAAAGACTGTTACCATTTTCCATTTACACATCCAGTCACCCAACTCATGTTCAAGAAAAACAACTTGAAAGGTATATTTTATTTCACAAAAAAATGTGACATGCAATACCCACCCCTCTAATAAACTATAAATGCTTGGATTACAGAGCAAAAAGAAAATCCAACTAGTCCTGATGAGACAAAAATTTGATTTCACAAAGCTGAAAAATCCGTTACAAAGTCTCTGTTGTATAAATATAGTCATTCTTATCTTTAAGAGAGTCAGACCAAAAAAAAGTTTTGTTGGCATAAGAAATCCCCTGGTCCTTGAATATACCACAGTCTTCATTTGTATTCCCAGCCAAATACAGGTGAATGACTACAGGATGAGAGTTATTTGTGTGCTCTAGGACTCTAGGTAACCAAATGGGATTTAAACATTTTATCCCCTGTGTTCACACTCCCTCTCCCAACAGTTTGAGCAAACCCCTATAGCCCTTGGTCAAGGGTTAAAGCCTTTCTCCCAGAGAAAATCTAACATGTATCAGTTCTAAAATGGATGCACAACTCTGTGAGTATATTAAAAGCTATTGAATTGTATGTTTTAAATGGATGAATTGTATGGTATATGAATTATATCTCAAAGCTGTATAAAGAAAATTTCAGGGCCGGCCCGTGGCTCACTCGGTAGAGTGCGGTGCTAATAACACCAAGGCCCCGGGTTCGGATCCCACATAGGGATGGCCGGTTCGCTCACTGGCTGAGCGTGGTGCTGACAACACCAAGTCAAGGGTTAAGATCCCCTTACCGGTCATCTTTTTAAAAAAAAAAAAAAAAAAAAAAAAATTTCTGACATGTCTAAGTTGCTAGGGAGTGATGGATGACCCTGACAGCATAACTCAGGAGTTCCTGACAGGTCACAGGAGAGACCTGTAGAAGTGAGCACAGTAAGGGGTAGTAAAAAGGAGATCCTTAAAGTATTGTGTCTAAATCAATGGAATTTGAGGTTGCTCTGGGGGCACTCAGTTTCAAGATGTCAGAATAAAGAAGCCAAAGGGGTATGTACTTTTTCCTACTGCTTTCAGGATAGTCTAAGGACCTTCTTTGGCCTTTGTCAGAAAAGAAAATCATTCAGCGGGAAGTCAGGTGCCAAGGTGTTGCTGAGTCTACAGAAGACTTTAGGCTGGAGCTACATATCACCATTTGTTGGGGGAAATTCCAATATGGCCACAGGTTCTGAGATCCTGCCTCCCATAAAAATAGCGAGAATTTGGATACTCAAAGAGAAGCTTCTAGAATTATTGACCCAGAGGGACTCCATGCCATCACCGATGCTATTGATGGCCAGAAGTCATGGCACAGCTCCTGTTCTGATTGACTCTTGTTGCCAGGACAGCAATGGCTAGTCAGATGAGCAAACCACTTTGTGGCAGACAGACCACTTAGAATTACCGTCTCCATTCTATACCTATCATATGGTCACCAAGTAATCACTGGAGAAAGAACAGAGGCACAAACCATGGGCAACTGGGGCTTGACAAAGGAATGGTCATTCTAGCCTGATAGGGAGGGAGGGGAAATTGCCAATGGCAGAAAGAAAAAGGTAATTTAAAGTCTTGCTCTGGTTTTTCCATTCTAGATACTTAAAATTCATTGATTATGGTTGGTGTAAAAATGGGAAAAAGGGGTACAGAGGACACCCAATCCACTCACCTTTCAAAAGGAATATTGCCAGAAATTGGAACCAGATGTCTTAATTTTTTTAGCACACAAAGGAAATGAGAACAGGAAAAAGGGAAGGATACGTCTTTTCAAGTATCCCAGTTTGGTGAACGCCTTGTTAAACTGCCCTAGCCTTCCCTCCTTGAAGACTGGTCTGATTCTGCAGCTGGAGTATGTGCCTGCAATTCAATTCCTTATTTAACCGGTCTGGAAGTTATTTACTCCATGGCTGAGTGGATGGGTTAAGCTTAGAAGCAGATATTATGGCCACCTCAGGTCCATGCTATTGTGGGCTGGATCCCCCAGTATGGCCCCATTAAAATCTCAGCCTCCTTGTGTTCTTTTAAATTAAGATACCCCGTGTTGTGATATGGCCCAAGACTCTAGGACCGGGGCACTCAAGGGTGGGGAATTTTCCTTACTTGTAGGGGTTTGCCATCTCTGTGGGTAAAAGCCAACAGAGGGTAAAGTTAGAACATCCGAGTTTGGGGGCTTACCTGGTTCTCTTTAGTGTCATAGGGAGATGGTGGGAGGTAAAAACAAAAACAAAAAAAATGAGGAGAATAGATCCACCAGGGCTTTAGGCATTTTCTCAATGCACTTTTTCCTTTGGCTTCAGTAAGAATATTTATCACTTACTTAAAAGAAGGGAATGAGGTACCTGGTTTAAAAAGCAAAACAAAGGGCCAGCCCGTGGCTCACTTGGGAGAGCGTGGTGCTGACAACACCAAGTCAAGGGTTAAGATCCCCTTACTGTTCATCTTTTAAAAACAAAACAAAACAAAAAACCCTTCCTTATTGCCTCTCTTTGTGCTTATCAAGCCTTTTCTCATCCAGGCCTTACTCGCCCTGCCCTCAGACCATCTAATATACTCAGTTTGAGCTGATTATCCAGGAGAAATTAATCCAGGCTCCATGAAGATTGTCCATCAGGGAACCCTGAGACCCTCCTCACCCAGCCTCTCTCCTAAAGAGATCATGAGCTAAGGGCACATGATAAGGAAAACTCCCAGATGTTTCTGCCCTCAAGTAAGAGGAAAGAGGAAGTAGTTTCTGTACTTAAGAAGAGAGAAATATTTTCATTCCAGAGCTATGAGAATTATGGGCAGACGAAGCTATGGCTCTGGCGGCTGGACCGTTTGGGGAAACAAGATGCAAGCAAGGGAATGTTATACAAAGCATGGGTGTATTTGGCATATTTGGGGCAAGCAGAAAGGAGGGTTTGGGTACTCTATTAAAAAAACAAAGATCTGAAATTCAAACTTCTTCTGTTAAGGCCACAGTGAAGAGATTTCCAGCCGTGGGTGTTCCAGGAGGCTGGCTCCCAAATCGCCACAGGCTCACAAGGTGATGTCCAAGGCGAGAAGGCAGGGGAGGCAGGGCGGTGCCTCTCACAGGTCCATGTCTGGGCCTCCTGAGGATGTCTTCAATGGCACTGAGTCAAATCCATCAGGAGTCCTCTGAAAGAGATGGTGACAGGAGCTGGCTGCTGCACAGGGGCAAGTTTGGGGGACAAAGGAACACTTATGGAATTCCTGTTTTCAGTGGCTTTGTGGAAACACAGAAATGAGATACCCTCTATTCTTCTTGCTCCCTGCAGCGTCAGTCAGAAAATAAGAAAAACCTTAAAAATCCCTTGCTTTGCATCTTTGCTAAATTCTAGAAGTCTCAGTATGCTCAAGGGTCCCAGGGTGAACTGTTCTATTGTTAAAAAACATCAAGGACTAAAGAGGCCAAGGGAGTCCCCCCGGCAGGTCAGCACAAAGGGAACAAGTTTTGGCAATCTGGACACCTAGCCGCCATCCTTTCTTCATCATCCCTCTGGTCCTCTCCTCCCTCTCACCACCCTCCCCACCCACACTTGTTTGGATGAAGTGGTTTAGGGCCATAGTCAGGGTGGGTGCTGCAGAGTGGGGCTGCAGAGGGCTGTAGCCCTGGAGGAGGGGCTTGGATGCTCTCTGCTGGCCCCACGCCCAGCGCCAGTGTTGTCTGTATTGCATTTATGAACTTCACACTCACTCACCACCACAGAGAGCCAACCCTCCCAGCTCAGAGTTGCTCAGTGCTGAACAGCTTAGACTTAGCTGTGACTCAGCCTCCATAGGATGGGGCCCAGATACCTGGGGGACAGCACCCTCCACTGGTCAAAGGAGAGCCTCACTTGTATCACAGTTGATCCTAGCGATCATTTCTTCCCCCCTCCCCCCCCCAAAAAAGTGGGGGAAGGGTGATCCTTACAATATGGATGGTTCAATACTCTTTTAAAACGCCCAAACAGTCCACCAACTGGTGTGCATGTTGGGAGAGAAGGAGCCTGGTCAAGAGCAACCTTGGGCCCCAGGGGAAAGAGTATTAGTGTGGAAATACAGAAGGCATGACTTTCAGGGTGGGAGAGTAGAATACCACGAAGAGTAGGGAGCAGAGTAGCAGTCCCTGAACAGTGCAGGGCCATTCAGTGTCCTAGAAGTGGTGTCTTCTCCAGTCCTCCAGGCTGACCTGAGTGCATTGGCCAGGCCTCCTACCTTGGAGGTAAATGATTTGATCTTCCCAAAGAGGGACCTCTTGCTGGCAAAGATGAGATCATCTTCCACATCCTCGCCTTCCATGATGGCACAACTGTCAGCTGCTGGCAGGTCGCAGTCCTTGAGGGTAGCATTCATCACCAGCTTGGAGTACTTGTACTCCAGTCTAGGAAACAGGAGGATGGGAAAGACAAGACACCGAAATGTAGGAATGAGGAGGAACGAGGGTGAGAGGTTGGGCTATAAAGAGATACTCCCATGCCATGGGTATGGAAACTGAAGAACAGCAAAATGGCATTAGGGCTGGGCATATAGAGAGAATCCTGGTTCCCAGTTCAGAGATCAGTTTCAGTGATCTCAAAGCTTAATAAAAATATCGAAACCTTGGGCCGGCCCGTGGCTCACTCGGTAGAGTGCGGTGCTGATAACACCAAGGCCGCGGGTTCGGATCCCATATAGGGATGGCCGGTTTGCTCACTGGCTGAGCGTGGTGCTGACAACACCAAGTCAAGGGTTGAGATCCCCTTACCGGTCATCTTTTAAAAAAAAAAAGAAATATCGAAACCATAAAGCCAATGTTTGTATTGCTAATAATTAATAACAAATTTAGGATATCTTTTTCTTTTGAGAATCTAACAGCCATTTATAGACTGCCACATGGTACCAACCCTGTTCAGAAGTTAGGATGATCAAGACATACACTGGATAAGTGGCTCAACAAGTCTCCAGCCAGAGTCACAGGGTCTGTGGCCAACTCCATTAATTTATACTCTCAGATGTTCTGTTTGCTCAATGATCTACTCCAGTCCATCCCCAAACTCTAATACCCCATCATGTACTTTTGATTCTTTTTCCAAAAGTAGCAGGTCAAGACGGTGAGCAGGATGGCAGTACAGGTGCCTGCAGAGATACCCACTTTCAGCCAGAAATCTATTGTTTTGCAGATGGTGACTCTCTGCTCAGGCAGGGAGATGCCACCGGAGCATAGCTTTGGTTCTCGCCACACGTAAGCAGTCTTCTGTTGGCAAGAAAAACAAGGAACTCAGATCTCACATTCCTTTCTCTCCTGGGAAGTCCCCATTCAGAGGGAAACTTACCTGCACCCCAGCCACACAGCTGCTGATGATAGCGTGGTAGTCAGCAACTGAGCAGAGTGGGCAAGCGGCCATGCTCTCCCACAGGAAGTGGAAGTTACAGCCATCACAGGTGCCATCGGAGCACGTGCTAGCAAAGCAAAAAGGAGACCTGAGCTCCCACTCACTGGGCCAGTGGGGAAGATCTGGTTGGAGGCCTCTGGTTGTCTCATAGCTTGCCTGATTCATCCTCTCCCTGCCCAGATTGTTAGCCCTACCAGGATCCTTCCAACTAGCTCTCAACACTGGTTTTGATTTTCAAGTTTCCTGATGATAAGAGGCCTTCCCAGCCTCTACTAGGCTCCCCACCCTCTGCCCATTTATGTTTCTGCTGACATCAGATGAGAGCTAATGTAGGGTGCCTGAGCTCTAGCATGGATGTTCTGTCAACCCCTGAGAGGCTCTTGTCTTCCCCATGGACATGTGACATTTTGCATTTTGATACAGCTTCCAGGGGTGAAGGGGGTTGGAGTTGATGTGGGATTCGGGAATGGACTTCCGATCATGGATATCTGTAAAGTTTACAATGGCAAGAACTTTACTATGAAGTTTACAACGGCAAGAACAGGGATTTTACACTCCCACACCACTGCTCAGTCAGCTTTGTTCCCCTGATCAGTTACTGTTTAGGAGCAGCATTCCCAAACTGTCTTCCTCAAGACACTAGTACCCATCAAGGTGTTAGTTGGTGATATGTGGGGGAAAAAAGAAGGAAGGTGGTATCCTGCGGTCATGTTAATTTGGAAATTCTTGATTTAGTGCACTCAGCTATGAAACTCAGAATTGTATCTTTTAGTTGCAAGAGATTCCTAGGACCCCTAAACCTTTACTAATTCTAATAACAGCCAGACACCACAAGAAGTCCTAAAGTCTCACTGTCTCATTTAATCCTCACACAACTCCTTTAGGGAACTTATTATGATGCCCATTTTACAGATAAGGAAAAAGAAACATAGAGAAGATAAGAAATGTATCCACGATAACATAGCTAGTAAGTGGAGAATCTGATTCAAATCTGGCTCTCAGCTCAAGTTGTTAGCTGTTGTGCTATGCAGCTGACACCATAATGGGAATGTGGAAGTAGTTTTGACTCTTCCTTCTGCCCCATTGAGGGTTTGGGGACATGACTGTGCCCCAAGAGCCCATTAATGGATTTCAAACTATTTTCTCTTTTTCAGTAATCTCTGGCTCTTGGGATGGAATGAGTCCAAGGAAAGGAGACTTTGGCCTTTGTTATACCCCTTTGTAAGGCTTACTGTGGCATCAGTATACTTCCAGGAACAGTTTTGAGTGGATTGCATCTGATGCGAATGGTGGTTGATCTCCCAGAACTGCAAGACTGGGTCACATCATTGGACCTGCAGAGAAAGCGAGCCCCCGTGGGGGGACAAGTCACCCAACCATGTTATTGGAGAGCCATTAAGTGAAGTCAACATAGAATAATTCCTTTGCTGGATAAGTCAGGACTTGGGCTCTAGCCTGACACACAAGGAGTGCATAGGCCTTGGTTTACATATGGAAAGAATGGGAATCAGGAGATCTAGTCAAGGGGAAACACACTGGTCTAGGAAAGGCATGGCTAGCATACACCGGAGCCTCCTTAGGCTGGAAGGGAGGTCTTCTGTAGATCAGCCAATGTTTCTCCCTGCCTCCAGGGCAGACTTGCCCTAGCAATACCCAAGAAGCTGGGATCATGGAACACCCAGCCTTTATCTATCATGACTGGGCAGATCTCCTAGACCTCAGACATGTTCTGGCTTTATAAGTAGTAGGTGGCTATGGAGGGAGGGATGCCACAGAAGTAGTGGAGGAGTCCTAGGTTTCACTTGCATTAACCTGGCTGCTCATCTTCACCTATAAAAGAAGATCACGTCCGGTATTCCCAAGGACTCCGGGTGGAAAAGTTCAGCTGGGGAGATGATTCCATCCAGAGTCATATCTGTTGTCACCCCTGCCAAATTAGAGCTCCTAATTAGTTCTCACTAACAGCATTAGCTGGCAACCACTTCAATTCTTTCAATACCTGACAACATCCAATCTTACTTCATCTCATCACATCCCAGAATGGCTCATTAATGGGTGAACCAAAAGTTTGTCAGAGGCCCCAAGGGCACTCGGAACACAGGATGGACTAGAAAAGAGAGGTCAGGAGGTTGGGCCCCTCATAGGGGCCTTTTACCTGCCAGCCTGGTAGCCTCACTCTCTCTTACACACACACGCATGCACATACACACTCAGACAAGGATGGAGCAGCTGTATTACTCACCAATAAGTCGATCGGCAAGGCTGACGGGCTGTGAGGACACCCCAGCCTTGTAGCCTGTCACCTCTGAGGGAATGATGACTGCCTGGCAGATGTAGGCTGTGATGGATTTGGAGAAACCTGACTCACCCTCAGGAATCCGGAGGTCAGTGACATTGTCGGTGCATGTGGACATTTTCTTACCCTGGTTGTGGGGATGATGATATGGGAGGAAGAAATGGGAAAAGGCGAATGAGCACAGAGGAATTCCTAACAGGGAACAGTTTTTTCACATCTAAAATTTCAGCCTTCCAATGTATGTTGTGGTGGAGTGATTAATCCCAGGTCTAATGACAAAACATTTAAATAATTTAAAAAAAAAAGAAAAAGAAAGAAAAGCTAAAAATAAAGCCTAGGTGTCCTAGGGTTTGGAACTCTGCCCCAAACACTGGGATCCCCAGTTTTTTTGTTTCTTTCTCCTTCAGTCTTTAACAATCCTCACTGTGTAGAAGTCTGGAAGATGGTGGGAATTGAGACTCTTTCCTTGAGCTTTTATAATAAAGGAAATATTGAGATATTGTTCCTTCAAGAATGTTAAATTTACAGAATATCAATATATAACTTGTTTGCTAATGTAAATCATTTGTTCAGCATTTTAAATTTAAGTTAACTAATTATAACATAACATTTTCAATGTTATAAGTTTTATTACAAATGGAGCTAAATCTCATGTCTCTTAGCTTTTTTCTAGATTGTAAGAAGTAGATGAAGAACTTGAGAACAGAAGGAAACCTTTACATTATAATATTTTGTTTTTGAACTGAGGGTCAATAGTGTGACAGTGTACAGTAAGGGTTTCTGAAAAGAATAAAGGAGCAAAGAAAAAAAAAAAAAGACACATTCTGCCCAAATTTCCCATCTTCACTCTTTCCCAACTCAGTAAATGAAACTTTCCCTACATCAGGCTTACTTTAATTATTTTCTTTTCCTGAGTTGTCACTACATGTTACATCTGGGGCTTCAGTTTAACCTCTTCAAAGACTTCTAAAAACAAGTAGAGTCCACCTATCTCTAATTTTTCATAGATTAGTTTATTTCTTGACAAGTTCTCTGTATAAACACACATAAACTTCTCTCCACACTGCAGAAGAGGGATAGAAGCTGTATGACGTAAAGGCCTTCCCACCACACATAGTCACAGTCCAAATGCTGATGATGCTGTTTATTATGTAACATCTAAAATGAACTTTCCAACCACTAATCATGGCTTGTTTGCAATTTAGTCAAATGCAGTAGCGGTGGGACTACCCTTTACATTTCTTTTTTTTTTTTTTTTCCTTTTTGTCTTTTTCCATGATCGGCAACGGATCGCAACCCTCAGTGTTGCACCCGTACCGGCCCGGGACCGGCAACGGGATCGCAACCCTCCGTGTTGCTCCCTGCACCTCGCTCAGCCAGTGAGTGGGAACCGGTCTGTATGTGGGATCCGAACCCTCGGCGGGAGCGCCGCCGCGCTTCCCAAGCGGCGCACTGTAGCAGTGCGCCACCGGGCCGGCCCATACCCTTTACATTTCTGCCTTTGAATTTTGGATCCAATTTTTTTTTTTTTGCAGCTGGCTGGTACAGGGACCCAAACCTTGACCTTGGTGTTATAACACCTCACTCTAATCAACTGAGCTAACTGGCCGGTCCTGGATCCAAAATATTTGCAGCAGCATGAAATGGCTGATGGTGACAGTCTTTCCTATTCTTAAAGTCTTTCATGTTACTTTTTTATTAAAATTTTTGTTCTGTTTCTTTTTTTCATTATTATTATTATTACTATTACTTTTTAATTTTTGGCAGCTGGCCAGTACAGAGATCAGAACACTTGACGTTGGTGTTCTCAACATGGTACTCTGACCAGCTGAGTTCACCGGACAGCCCTCGTTATTATTATTTTTAACTGACACATAATCATTGTACATATTTATGAGGTACAATGTGATATTTGGATACATGTATACAATGTGTACCGGTCAAATCACAACTCAAACATTTGCCATTTCTTTCATGTTACTTTTGCACTGTCAGCAAAGATACATGCAGATGAACTACAAACAGTTTATTTTATCCAGCCTGTAGAAAATGAGGGACAAATGCAGTGATTACTGAAGACTGCTTTTTAAAGGGGGTAGTGGGAACCTTCTTCCTGTATATTTTTTTATACAGTCACTTTGAGGGAATAAAAGTTGGGTGAGAGTAAATAAATACTTTATTTGAAACATTTTTATTTTCCTCAATGTTTATAATCCAGATGATTTAATTTTAGGGAGAATTATAATCATTTAAAAACCTTTTAACCCCCTTGATCCCCTGCTGCCTGAAGGTTTTCTAGCTTTCCTCCTGAGTCCGTCTCTGGCCTCTGACCCACTGGCTTCCCTTCCTCACTTCTCACACTGTCAATGTGCACACATTACCTGGTTTCCACACAGACTGAAGGTAAAGTGATGGAAATATCTCAGCCCTTTGGAAGTGAAGCTTGGCCCTCCTGCCAGAGTGACAGTGTTTGCCAAAGCTGAGAAGTTGTAGTCAAAAGTCCTTGCCGGAGTGATGTGTGAGAAGGTGCAGTCGTTGTAGCATAGAGAGTGGATCTGAGGGGGAGAGGGATCGGGTCAGACCGGCTGTTTGGACAGGGCCTTGAGGGGTGACAGTATTCTCCTGAGCCTGGTACAGCCCAAATGGGGTGAAAGAGGAGGAAGTAAGGATTGGGGGTGGTCATTAAAAAGAAGTGAAACAGGCACTAGTGGGATTTATGTACATCTTGCCATTCAATTATTAGCACGAAATTGATACGCAAACCCAAACCCGTCATTTTTCAGTAGGTTGTTTGGTCAATTCTATAGCCTTGTCCCTGTGCCTAAATTATAGTACCCTCTTGGGATAGCCCTTCTTACTTCCAAGCAGAAGACATGAGGTACTAACTAGAAGAAGGGTGTACAGGACAGCAGAAGAGAAACTACAAGTCTTGCCACCTACCCCATCGCCACATTTAAAACACACTGAACCCTGCTTCCTCTTTCTCAAGTTTTCTGTAGGAAATTAAACTCTGAAAGGAGCTTTACTTCCCATCAACCCATTCTTTGCTGTTTTAGGGTCCACATTCAGTGGCAGCCTCACACAACTGCCATTCTCTCCCATAGCAGCAGAGAGAGCTCCAGGGAAAAAGGTGTGGCGAAAGTCCAGGGTTCCCAAAAGCAGTTGCCAGTGGTCTGCAGAATCATTGCATTTACTGCACCGCCAAACTGAGCAATGTTCTCAGAGTATATAAATAATGCTTTACAGGTGTGTGTCTGTGTGGTTGTGATCAGTAAAATCACAAGTTCATTTAAAAGCACGAATGAATATCTAAGAACTTTTAGTCATATGTACTTTCTCAGGGGCCAAAAGTACATAGGGAAGCACAAAGAACAGTGTTTTTCCACTTTAGAAAGGAATCTTTATACCTGTAAAGCCGAGAAGTAAGTGGATAGAAGACAGCAATGCCAGTTAACCATATGTTCCAGCAAAGGTTGGGTTACCTTCCCAAAGAAGAGGAGGCAAATTCCCATGATAAACAGGCTGGACTGGACTAGGCTAAATTTTGAGCCACAGACCTCACTATTCCTTCCCTTCAGGTCTCTGCACAGAAGCCAAATAACCCTCTGAACCAGATGGTCAGCAATTTCCCTTACCCATCAACTGAAGATGAGACTTGTCCATGACTGAGTTCTGAACCCTGGGACTTAAACCCTACTGCTAAGAACTCACCATCCTCAGTCACAGCCTGGATGGGTGTTCTCCAGGGCTCCAACCTGGGAAGATGCTCGGGAGAGCACTTGGGTATCAGCCCCTCAGTAACCCCATCCAGGACCCAGCACCCTCTGAAGCCATCCAACCAGAAGGCCAGGTTTAGGATGCTGGGCAGACTGCTGGCACCTTATTGCTCTTGGTTCCTGGACCACAGGGCATGCAGGCCTGGACGCCATAAGGCTGGTGGGCTTTCAGGATTGTGTTCGGGGGACAGGAGTGGCAGATTCCTGAATCTCGGTCAATGTAGTAACCAGCAGGACAAGAGGTGCAGGAGGAGCCCGTGTCAGAGGCTTCTAGGGCACAAGGATGGCAGTAGGAGGCCACCCCATCCATGACATTGGTGATATTGATGGAGTAGATCTTGGCAACATCGTTGGTGTACTTTCTGCCCTGGAAACAAGGAAACAAGAGAGAGAGGTTGGAAGTCTTAGCAGCAACAATCGAGTCCTTTGGAAACAGCAAAGTACTTCTTAATCTTTTATCCTATGATACTTGAGTAAAATCTTAGAGGCAACCCGCTCTTCTTATTCACTTAACAGTGGCTCTTTATGTGCATTTCGTGTCATTTAAAAACAAGACTGAGGGCCGGCCCGGTGGCGCACTAGGTAGAGTGCGGCATTTGGGAGCGCAGTGGCGCTCCCACCGAGGGTTCGGATCCCATATAGAGACCGGTCCGCTCACTGGTTGAGTGTGGTGCTGGCGCGACACCGAGGGTTGCAATCCCGTTGCCGGTCGCGGTACGGGCGCGACACTGAGGGTTGCGATCCCGTTACCGGTTACGAAAGAAGACAAAAAAGAAAAAAAAAAACAAAAAAAACAAGACTGAACCATTTTAAACAATGTATAAAAATATTAAGTATCATTAGGCAAATATGAAGTAGATACTGTTATATGAAAAAAACACGTGTTTTCCTTGTAAAAGTAAAAATATATATTTGTACAGAAATAAAGACTATATAGGAGATATTCCAGATGTTGACTGGGGTATTTCTGGGTATAAGGATTATGGCTCATTTTATTCTTTTTTGTTCATTTCTATTTTCTTTCTTTCTTTTTTTTTTTTTTAAAGATGACCGGTAAGGGGATCTCAACCCTTGGCTTGGTGTTGTCAGCACCATGCTCAGCCAGTGAGCAAACCGGCCATCCCTATATAGGACCCGAACCCGTGGCCTTGGTGTTATCAGCACCACACTCTCCTGAGTGAGCCACAGGCTGGCCTTCATTTCTATTTTCTAAGTTTCGTTCAATGAACATGTATTACTGAGTTAAAAAAAATAAAACACAGGGGCCAGCCCGTGGCTCACTCGGGAGAGTACGGTGCTGATAACACCAAGGCCACGGGTTCGGATCCCACATAGGGATGGCTGGTTTGCTCACTGGGTGAGCGTGGTGCTGACAACACCAAGTCAAGGGTTAAGATCCCCTTACCGGTCATCTTTTAAAAAAAAAAAGAAAAGAAAACACAGAGTTCTTGTAATTAAAAACTACAAAAGGTCTGGCACCACACATGTCCTCAGGGCAGGGACTGCAAAGAGGGACAGGCTATTTATTTATTTATTTATTTATTTATTATTTATTTATTTTTTTTAAAAAGATGACCGGTAAGGGGATCTTAACCCTTGGCTTGGTGTTGTCAGCACCACGCTCACCCAGTGAGCGAACCGGCCATCCCTATATGGGATCCGAACCCGGGGCCTTGGTGTTATCAGCACCGCACTCTCCCGAGTGAGCCACGGGCCGGCCCAGGACAGGCTATTTAAGGAGCTTATGGTGTCATCTTCCCTGGAAGTCATTTGGACAAGGCTAGATGATCCTTAGAGGGCTGGGTTAGGCAGTTCTCTGTTTGACTCGTTAAGATCCTTTTAACCCTTGCATTCCAAACCTCAGACTCATACTTAAGCTAATGCTAGGTGTTCTCCTGGGTTCAAAGGGTCTCTCCTAGGAGCTGGCGGTCTGAGGAAGGGGAGGAACTTACTGCCTCATGAAAAGTGGTCCTCTGGAAGGCCCAGGTGAAACTCATGGTAGCATTCTCCTCAATGGTGTAGGTATAGGACTGTTTGCCTTTCGAACCTTTCCACGTCTCCACGGGAGTATTGGCCCTAGAATTCACGCCCTGAATGCAGGACAGACAAGTGAAGAAGGCTGGAGGGGCTTCCTGCTGCCACCCTGGGAGCCATCAGAGTTGGTCCGACCCACATTAAACTGTGAAGTACCTGACGGTAAGTCCAGGCCCTTCCTCTGTGGAATCACTGCAAGTAGGGTGTCAGTTACATTGACACATCAATGGCACAGATGGAGCCAACCCTCCCCTGGAAGCCTCATAGTGGACAAAGAAAGGAAAACGTACCACCATGAAGTAGAGCTCACAGTTCACAGAACAGATGGTCTCAAAGACAAATGTGATCCTGGCCACCTCTTTATTCTCTGTGTCTGCTATCACTGACTGTGGAGGTCTGTGGAGGCAGAAATTAAGAGTCAGTTCCAGAGGCCAGGTGGTGCTTATTGAGGAGCCCAGACAGCATCAAAGGGTCTGCTGGGGGACAGGATTAGGTTCTGAGTACATTAAAAAGAGTGTGGACTAAGTCCAATTCTGCCCGCCTAGCTATGTGACCTTGACCTAGCCAAACCGTACTTTCTTCATCTGCAAAATGGAGGTGATAATATCTTTCTCATCTACCTCCCCTCACTGTGGTGAGATCCAAGGCATAGCAGGTGTGGAAGTGCTTTATAAAATGCTGTTTAGCCTCACTCACAGAGTGTGGGCTGCAGACCAGCAGCATAACAATCTCTGGGAGTTTATTAGAATTGCAGAACCTCAGGACCCAGAATCTGCATGTTAACATGATTCCCAGGTGATTGGTATGCACATTAAAGTTTGGGAAGCACCACTATGGTGAGATGTACATTGTCTGCATTTACTCAGCAGCTCACTCTCCAGCATCGTGGGAACTTTGCTTGGGTTGAATAAGCAGAATTTGTAGTGTCTTCAGCAAAGTTCTCAGGCTGGTCCTACTTTTGGGAGAGAGAGGGCAATGCCCAAATGGGCCAGGGTGGGGGAAGCACCTTACTATGGTAATCAGATTTGCAAATGAAAAAGTACTTTTGGGAATATTACTACAAAAAAGCTTTAAAAGTTTGCTTGCCTTGCATACAAAGGACCTCTCTGGTCAGCTCTGAGTAATGAGTGTTAAGGGAACAGAAACCAGTATCTTTCGAGCAACTGCCATGGACTGAGCACCATCCTAGGGATGGAGGGCAGGGACCTCACAGGAGAGGTTGGAGGAGTCAAATGGGCAGTAGGGAAGCCCAGTCAGTGGACCCTCCTCATTTTAAAGAACATATAGGCAAAAGAGTTCACTTTGGCTTTGGAAATCAATTTATGGCTTTTCTTTTGGCTTAAGCCATTTGCCTGAATTCTGAGGACGTCCACTTCCCAGCTCTTCTCTACACAGCTGTGCTAACCAATGGGCTGGAAGAATCATCTGAACCTGAGTGAGTCCTCAATCACAGACTGGTTTTGTAGAAAAGGAGCCTGCAGCCTGTAAGAGGCAAAGTGACTTTCCCAAGTTCACAAAGCCAGTTAGTGGCAAAGTTCAAGTGCCCTGCCTTCCAGTCTAGTGCTCTTTCCAGCATACCACATGCCTGTGTGTGTGTGTGTGTGTGTGTGTGTGTGTGTGTGTGTGTAGTGGCAATTGCTTGTTCTAGATCTTCTTGGGATATGGGGACAAATATGACAATAAGAACAATCCCTTCCAATCTTCTTTTTTTTTTTTTTTTAAAAGATGACCGGTAAGGGGATCTTAACCCTTGACTTGGTGTTGTCAGCACCACGCTCACCCAGTGAGCGAACCGGCCATCCCTATATGGGATCCGAACCCGTGGCCTTGGTGTTATCAGCACCACACTCTCCCAAGTGAGCCACCGGGCCGGCCCACCTTCCAATCTTCTTATAAGGATGAACTGTCTATGGGCACTTCTGGCCCTATTTTTTGTAAAGTTTTTTTCCTTTTAAAAAAATCTTATCTGAAGCTGTGAGGAGGAAGAATTCGAGTAGCATGTGGCCAGTGGATGGGAGAAGGGAGATGGGGTGAGAGAGCAGTAGGTGGAAAGCACAAGCAGCAACTGTGAAAATGTGTTAGTGTTCAGGGTAACTTGGTCAGACCATGACTGTGTGCTCCTCTGTTCTGAACTGATACTTTAAAAGAAATGAAATTCAACTCCAGAAGCCCCCTTCTCCACAACCTTCCAAAGCGTGTGGGACTTGGATGTGGCCCAGCTGGCTTGGGCCTCTCCTTGGCTTTGTATTCCTCACCTAAATCCTGGCACAGCTAGAGTGAGAATCATGAAGTCATTGTCTGAGTCTCCAACAGCTGTGTAGATGTGGTCACCAGCCACCTCCCAGCCTGGAAAAGGAGAGGGGAGAGTTAGTTAGTGCCTCTGTGTTCTTGAGGGCCGGCCAAGTGTGTGCCCAGACAGCACTCTGGAGGGAAGATATGGCACCATCCTTTGAGGCGTCCAGAATGACCATTGAACATGAACTGTGTTACTTATCCCGCTACTTTGGTCAAAGCCTCTGAAGCTCTCAGAGCAAGATTTTTGGGGTGTGTGCACGTTGTTCCTAGCTCTTTTTCTTCATTTGAAACTAATGTGTCCATAAGGAGTGTGACTCTCAAGGGAATGAATGACATAATTTGCTACTTTTTCTCAGACATCAGTATTGTAAAGAAATGTGAAGTTGGAAGAAGTCTTGTGAGAATGCAGGGAGCGGGCAGCTCGTTGTGAAGAGAGAGATAGTTACCTGTCATGCTCTTGTACTCAAAGTTGATCCCACTGAGAACTGTCGTTTCCATGTTTGTGGGCAGCGTGTTCCACCATTTGTACTCAAATCCCAAGATAGGTTCAGTCCCAGCTGGGCAGTGGGTACAATCTGGGGGAACCACAAGATCCATGCATTCAACCGGAAGGCTGCAGCCACCCTGACTAGAGCTGCTGCCACACAGACAAGTGGCAACAGTATTGGCAGCCAAACAAGGGTGGCTGCTGAGCCCAGTTGCACAAAGTAATATCAAGCTCACTCAAAAACATTCTGATGATGTATTTAACAAACTCAAGATATAAACACTGACCCTTCATTCCAACCATCCCGACTTGCCCACCAAAATTTTCATTTCAACTGTATCTTCCAGTCTGATACACGTAGTTCATATTATTGTCACATTATTGTTTAGTGCATTCACATTAAGAGGTATACAAATCCCCAAACTCCTTTTTTGCAGCATGGCTTATAAGTTCTGGTTGTGCTGAGCTGGTCATCCCAGCCCCCCAAACCTTTGAGGGAGCATCCCTGCCACACGCCAGAAGGCTCATTTGTGAGGATTGGGTACCTTCAGGCCTGAGTCACATTCACAGCTGGAATGAGGAGGAAGGAAGGTAGTTCTCAAGTCTGACTCTGACCTATAGACAACGGCCGACCCTGACCTCTCTTCCCCTGAAGTTAGCCCTCAGAGGTGACCTGGTCCTTACTGCCTCCGTTGGAAGGGCAGAGTCACCCTCAGCTGGCCACTTTGAGTACCCTGGTGGCCCACCCACACAGTTGCTGTGGAGATGGGTGTGATGCAGGGAATAGGGGGGTGAAGAGGTTACCGGAGCCGTTGGAGTAAGAGCCGTAAGGGCAGGGCTCACAGGTGCTGCTGTTGGTTTTGAAGAAGCCTGGATTGCAGGGTGGGCAGCGAGTCTTCGTGCCAGAGGCAGGCAGCTTCACTGCCCCCTTGAGGTCCTCACCACAGATTTTCGGCTTGGCCCATTTGTACATGAGCTGCGTCTGCAGAAATGGATTAAGCACGGCTCAGCCCATTTGCGCTTTAGCACCTATTTAGGACTCTAACTTGAGGATGGGCATGGGGGTGGCAATGGATTCTGGCCAGAATGAGCTCCACCAGGGTGGGGTACTTTGTTTTGGTCACTGATGTATCCCAAGCACCTAGCCCGGTGCCTGACATGTGGTTGTGCTCAGTAGCAATCTAGACCAATTGTCTTCAGGGAAAGCTCTGATCCCACTGTAGAATCTTATTACTACCAAGGTCTTAAGAAAAGCAGTTAGTGAAAATCCCAGAACACAAAAAGGCATGGAGTGGAGGTGGCTTACTTAACCCCTGTGGGTGACTGAGATGACCCAATTTGTTTTCCTAGTGGTGCATTTTTTGCTCTTTCATTTATCCAGTAAACATTTGTAGAAAGCCTAATACTTCTATGTGCTAGTGTCTCAGAGATGAATGAGACATGGCCCCTGCATTGGGAGCAGAGAGGGGATGACCTGCAGGAGACCCCTGGTGAGTCAGGGGTGAAGTCGGGCAGTTCCATTCTTCCCGTATGGCCTTCAGATCAAGTCAGAGACAAAAAGGCACACTTATGGATTGCACTGAAGGGATGATGAAAACGCTTTCTGTCACATGCCATACCTGAGTTAATAAAATTATAGGAGGCCATTGTTTTGGACTAAATTCCTGCGCTAAGCCCCAACAGACAGACTAAAAACCAAAAATGAAGTCACCCCTGCTAAATTTCCAGTCACCAAAACCAAACTAAGTAATTGACTAACCTTCTCAGAAATTAGGAGAGAGGTAGCCAATTTCCCTAACAGGCCAGTTTGAATCTTCAGCAGGTATAATAATGAAGTTCCCACTGTTTTAATCCTTACACAGAAAAGATAGCCTGAAGTAATTTGATGTTAATTAATCAGTTATTTTTCTATTGCTCTGTCTTCCTGTCCCCACCTTACAAGAAAAGTAACTTTGAAATGACCTATCTGCTTTTCTTTTTCGTTTCTGCTTTCTTCAGCCTTTTTCTGTGGATAAAATCAGCCTCCTTTGCTCAGCTCATTGGAACACATATTTTATTTTATGGGATAACGTGCTGCCTGATTCTAGAATCACTGTAAAGTCAATTAAGATCTTTAACCTAAATTCGTTTTAATTTTGTTATTTGACACATGAAAAGATGGATGAATAAGACCTCTGTCCATTTTATCCAGGGAAAGACATGACAAGGTCTCAAGGAGGGACCCAAGCTGCCTCCACTAATGGTGATCCCTAGGGCTCCTCCTCCCCCTACTCCTCTTGGCCCTCCTCCCTGTGAGGAGCCCAAGCAAGGGAGAGTGGGGCAGAAGGAAGCAAAGACAGCCACATTCAGACACATTATGCCTAGGAGAAGGTAATCAGGATTACTTGTCCCCTTTCTATCAGTAGGTCAACTGAGACCAAGAAAATGAAAATAATTTTTAAAAGGTCCTACAGAACACCTGACACTAGAAAACTGAGTCTAAGGTGCAACTGACAAGACATGAGCCACTTCTCTTGGCTGCTGTGGAAGGGAATGATGCTCCAAAAAGTTGGGGAGGGTGTAAGAGATGATTATGAAAACAATCACTGTTAAGGACCAGCCTTTATCACATGCTTACTTAATTAGCAAAGGGAGAATTCAGTCTGCTGTCTAGCCAGCAAACATTTATGCATCCTAATACCCAAGCATTATGCTTAGTGCTGAGTGCAGAATCCCCAACTCCTAATTCCATCTCCTTGAGAGACTCTGGTTAGGGATACAGACTATTCATCCAGAATGTCTAATCGAAGACAGATCCCTCCGCGTGTGCCCCTGAGCCCATCCCTGTCCACTCACCATTGTTCCTCGAACTCGCCAGGCACACCTGCCTCCTCTACCCTCACTGTGCCCTCTGCCCGGAAAGCTCCATGGCCCCTCCTTCATTACATTCAGGTCTCTGCTCAAATGTCACCTCCTGAGACAGGCTGTCCCTATCCTTTGTAAACTAGCATCCCCACCCTCTATCATTCTCTCTCTCCTCATCCCGCTTTATTTATTTATTTTCTTCCTACCACTTATTACCATTTGATATATTATACACCTATTTGCGTCCACCTGTTGACTCCCTCTTCCCTCTCAGTTTTATTAACTGATGTGTCCCTAGTGCCTAGCACTGTGCCTGGCCCATAGTAGCTGTTCAATAAATATTTGTTTTCCATTTCAGTTGTTATTTTTTATTTTTTTGCTCACTTGTCTGAAGCAGTGACAGGATCATAGAATGTGAATTTTGAACAGATCTGAAAGGTTATTGAGTTCAACTCCACAGAGGTGAGTAATGTGCCCATAATCATTCAAATGGCTAAAGGAAGAGTAAACAAGAAACTGTGAGTCCTATTCCCAGTGCCTTTAAAAAAATTTTTTTTAATTGACACGTAATAATTGTAAGTATTTATGAAGTACCATGTGATGTTTAGTATACATGTATACATTGTGTAATGGTTAAATTGGGTTAATTAACATATCCATTGCCTCAAACATTTATCATTTGTGTTGGAATGTTCAAAATCCTCTCTTCTAGCTAATTGAAAGTATACAATAAATTGTATTTAATTATAGTCACCATAAAGTGCTGTAGAACTCTAGATCTTATTCCTCCTATCTAGCTGTAATCTTCTATCTGTTGACCAACTTCTCACTATCCTTCCCCTCCCTCCTATCCTTCCCAGACTCTGGTAACCTCAATAAATGCTTGTTGCCTGTTGCAATGAACAAATGGCCTCCTGTAGAGGCCTTCTCTGCCCACCCCTCAGTCCTGGTCGCTCCTCCTCAGAGCTCCCCCAGGGCCCTGCACATCCCCCTGGCTGCCTTGATCAGGCTGGTCTTTCTCCTCTCTTGCAGCCTCCCACACAGGACTGTGAGCTCCCTGGGGACGGGAGCTGACTCAGTCACCTCTGACTCCCTAGCCTGCAGCTCAAATGCCTGGCACGTCAGTTAGCCCTCAAAAGGTGCTTCTTGAAAATGCAAGTTAAAAAAATTGGAATGCGGGCCGGTCCGTGGCTCACTCGGTAGAGTGCGGTGCTGATAACACCAAGGCCACGGGTTCGGATCCCATATAGGGATGGCCGGTTTGCTCACTGGCTGAGCGTGGTGCTGACAACACCAAGTCAAGGGTTAAGATCCCCTTACCGGTCATCTTTTAAAAAAAAAAAAAAAAAATTGGAATGCTGTACCAGAAAGCAGGAAATACTTGGGGTGCTAGGTCATGGCACTTTTCCTTCAAACGTACTTTTCTATGAGTTTTCACAATCATTTGAACTAAAACATTTGTATTAAACTTTAAAAATAATAATGCTTGAATAAACATACTGCCTTTCAAAAAAAAAAAAAAAAAAAAAAAAAAAGGTGCTTCTTGACTCAAAGGCATGCAGACTACAACAGGAAAGTCTTTTTATGATGCAGAAAGCTTGGGGGTAAGAGAAACAGCAGCATCTGAATGAATCAGGCCATTCTCCAGAAAGCCAGGAAGTAGGAATCAATTCCCCTGGCCAACCCACAAAAGCAGCACCAAGAGGACAAGTCTGATGAGCTCCATGAAGAAGTAAGAGTACATGGACAAGCAGGTATTGCCCAGAGGGGCTAAGAAGATGGAAAAAACCATGCAAAGAAAATGGAATGGTTTTGTGAAACAGAGCATAGGTGAATAAGCAGTGAAACAAATGCCGCAAACAGTTTCTGACTTGAAAATGAAAGCCATCTTGTTTTGCATTCTCCCCCACCACTAGACCCAGGGTTACCGTGAAGGTCTGCAGAGTTTTATCTGGTGCCAGCTTCCCTGACCGCTGAAACTCCAAATAGTGGTAAAGCCCAGGGAGTGGGAGACAGTGTATCTGGGGCAAAGGAGCTCCATGACTGTGCTACCCACCTCTCCGTTGGCATCACAGGCCGTGTGTGTGTAGAAATAATCTTTGTCTGTGCAGGCTGGGCGCACTTTGCAAGAGGAAGATCCTTTTTCTAAATTGCCAATGCAAGAAAAAAAAAATTGAAGTTACATAAGAAAGCAAAGCTCTCGGCCACTTGCTCATGACTGTGTGATGCCCAAGCCCCTGGGACACATCACCACACAGATACTGCCACAAGTAGAAGATCCTGCACACCCACCCTTCCCTTTGCCTCAATCGTGTCATTTCCAGTCCCCAAAGCCTGCTCAGATATCCCTTTGCTCCTCTCCCGGTGCTGATGAGGAAACATTGGCCCCACATGGTTGGTTCAGGACGTGGAGATGTAGCCTAGCCAAAGGACCAGCGAGGAGGGGTGCAGCTGGAAATAGCATCTTGCAGGTTACCCACCACCAGCCTAAGTTCACTGAAACCCGACGTCTGCCAGGTGCCTTAGGATCCTGACTGAGGGTGTGATTTTCTGTTCCTGAATGGTTGAAGTAAAACATCGAAAGCTTGGGGGCATTGCTTTCACACTCTTTTTCCAAGCCTTTCTCTGAACTTTTTCTTAATATATGCCTAGAAATCTCCCCTTCTACATGCAACCATACTACACAAATAAAGTTGTAATTTCCTCGGGCTCCACTTGAGACACAAGGTTCTTTCCACTTTACGCAACCCAAGCATCCCAGCACTATTCTTTAACCCTTGACCTGCACCTAATGAAAGGTGTTAACTATCTGTTTTATCCTCCTCTTGTGTGTTCTCCTTATGTCATGTTAGTTCTGCTTTAACCCTAGGAACTACTGGATAGCAAGTACTATTTTAATGAATCCCTCTATACAGCAAAGGATTTCACCAGTTTTGAATTCAGAAACCCTTTTGAGAAATTGAAATAAAGGTCTGTATCCCTCTATCCAGAAAAATACACATAATTCAAGCAAATAAAAATTTTTAAAAATTTCCAGGGAATTTCCTTCTCCTGAATAAAGACCACTGCTGTATAGGGTACACATTACAATACTACTACCACTGCCACCACTATTTCTAAGATGACTACTGTGTCACCTGGGGGAAAGCATTTCATAATATGCATATTACTTGACAGGCAGTATGGTGTAGTAGAATGAAAATTTTAAGCTAGACAGATCTGAGTTTAGATCCTGCTTCATTATTTTGTAGCTGTTTCACTTCAGGCAAGTTACTTAACCTCTCTGAGCCTTAACTCTCTCATCTGTAGAGCAGGAATTATAATAGCTACCTTGCTGGAGCCAGCACTGGCACATTGTGAATATTTAGCAAATATTCACTAAAAGGCAGTAACTATTATTACCTGCATGTTTGGGAATTATTTTTAGGGATTGTTCCAGGAGGTTTCATAAGGATTAAAAGTCTCTTTCCTTACCTTCCAGCTAAGGGCTTATTTCTCAACGGATCCCTTCTTCTCAAAGCATCAAATGAGTTCCTAGATCGGAGACTCTCCTGATTACAGCCCTGCTGGCCTGCACTGGGGAGTTCCCTCAGCCACACATTTCCGTACCTATCTGTCCCAGTTTTATTAGGCTAGGCAAGAGGGAATGACTGGCTGAGCGACAGCTGGGGTCTTCTCAGCTCATTTACTTGGTTAACAAGCAGAAGGCCCAATTCAACACAGAGGGATCTAGGGATTCCTGCTTTTGACTGACTTAGCCAGGAGAAATTTGGGGGGAGATGCTGAAAATGTGCCAGTTCCCAGGACCTTGTGTATTGGGTCTAGCAGAGTACAACTTATGAGTCAGACGATGCATTCTGCTCAAAGACTTTTCTCTGCTTGTCAAGTATTTGCTTAGCCTGACATCCTAGAACTCCAAGCTTTAGCAAAATAGTCCAGCTGTTTACACATTGACCACTTTTAAAGTGGTTTTAATAAATTATTAATCCAAGTGCTGAGACAGACCTCACCTTCCTAAAGGTGTTTAAGTTGGGTACTAGCCAAGTTTGAAAGATTGGCCTAGATGTTTGCTTGAGGGCATGAAAAGTGATTTGAGCAGGATTGGCCTTGGGCAAAGCTATAAGAAGGTAAAGTTTATCTCAGGCCCTAACTCCTCTTTTTGCCCCTTCCTCCTCCTTTCAGTATCTTCTCTCCTCCTTCAGGAGTGCAATGTTCTCATCTTATCACAGGAAAACATTTCCCCTGAGGATTTAAGTACCTAATAAACATAAGGACCAGCTCAGATACCAGCTCAAACTCTTGGCAAACCCCTTAACCTCTTGAAGCTTCTCTTTATTTATTTGTGAATGGAGAAATCACTCCCGCCTTATGCTGCCAGGAATAAATGAGTTAATGGTCTGTCAGTTGTAAAGTACTATACAAGTGACTTCTTATAACCTATACCAAGAGTATTTTCATTTTAAAAGAGGAGTGTCAGGACAGGACTTAATGTAAATGAATTAATAAAATTAGTGCTTGCTATATGCCAGGCCCCTTTCTAAATCCTTTATCTCCATTAATCAATACTTACAATAACACTATGAGGTAGGTATGATTAGATTATTCCCATTTTATAGATGAAGAAGGGCCGGCCCGTGGCTCACTCGGTAGAGTGCGGTGCTGATAACACCAAGGCCACGGGTTCGGATCCCACATAGGGATGGCCGGTTGGCTCACTGGCTGAGCGTGGTGCTGACAACACCAAGTCAAGGGTTAAGATCCCCTTACCAGTCATCTTTAAAAAAAAAAAAAATAGATGAAGAAACTGAGGCACAGACAAGTACCTTGCCCAAGGTGGCACAGCTAGTAAGTGGTGAAGCCTTAGTAATTTAGTTTGGGAGTCCATGCTCTTAAACTCCATGAGCTAACTGGCCAGCCCCACTTCCCTTCAGCACCACGTGGAGTTACTGCACTTAGGTGTTTATGTAACCAGGTTTCCACTTTTCAACATAAGCTGGAGGGTAGGTACCAGCTCTAACCCTAGCACCAACCCCAGCCCTTGGCACCTGGCAGGCACTCAGAATGTATTTGTAAGTACATGGGTATTCTGTCACTTCCTTCATGCACATTCCATCATAGTCTCTCATCAGACTCTCTCTGCATTTTCCCAGCCTCCCACTGACCACAGCTGTATTTTGAAAGAGTCAAGTCTCAAAGAATGTGACTCTCTTTTTATCCCAAGCGGGTGAGATGGTCAACAAGTTGACTGCGTTCTTCATAGTAAAAACTCATTTCTTAAAGGGGCAGTTGAGAAATCAGCAGCTGAAGGAGAAAAGACTCCAAGAATTCAGACTCCCAACCTAACACTTTCATAACAGCTCTCTGAATAAAAATAAGTTTACACAGAGTTGATCAAAACACACCTAGGCAGTTTTTCTAGAACCAACTTGTCACTCAAACTCTTGGACAACTGTTGTGCTAATCGGGGAGCCGGAGACTTAGACTCACAAAGGCTCCTATTGATAGAGGCAGAGCAGAGAAAAAGGAATAAGAAAGTCAAGTGGAAAAACAGGAATTTAGAATTACAGATAAAAACTTCCTTCAAGATTTAAACGTTCCTGTTCTGGCTGAAAAATACACTCATTTGGCAAGATCTGTATAGACAAATAGGACTTTAGTTTTAGAACTAGTGTGGAAATAAGCAATCCACAAGGTCAATGACAGGCCTTGGCTGAGCAAACATACTATAACACCTGCGTGAAGTGTGGGTATGTCTATGTAGGGATATGGGAGCCTACTTAAGGGAGAGCCTGTGCTGGGTTTGTATATGGTTCTGTGTAAGAAAGGAAAAATAGAACAGTCATGAATGTTTCCAGGGGAAAAGAGGGGATTCTTTCTCTCTTCTTGTTTGTTGCAGAACCTGTCCTGGAGATTGGCCTCCATGGAGATTGGACTGCCTGTGCAGAAGGCCCTCTGGAGGCACTGTCCATCTTATACCAGAGACTTCATTCCCATGAGACCCCCTCAAATGATCAGGTCCTGTTTCTCAAGCTGGGATGCTTTAGGAAGCTATCCAGGAACTGTAAAAGTAGGCTGCTTCCACCTGTTCCCTAACATTCCCTTTGAGCAGTTGTTTTCAAACTGTGTTCCAAGGAACCCTAGATTTCCAGAAAAATGGATGCTTAGGCTGATAAAAGCTTGTAACTTCCACCTTTAGCCCTTGCTATCAAAATGGTGGTGCTCATCAATACAGCCTCATGGTTCTTACAGATTAACTTTGATAATAATTGTTATAAATTAGAATGCACAAATGTATACCTCTTTTATCTGCTGTATCTGTTTTTTATAATTATAATCCTACATAAGGTTTCATTTAAAAAAAAAGATTTCACTGCATTAAAAAAAAAAAAAAAGATTGCAACCTTTCCTTGGCTTTCCTAATCCCTCTAACTCTGAGCTGCTTTTTCTATTTGCCACAGCACCATAGCACTTTTTACCATCTAACATACTATAGAATTTATTATGTATGTATAATTTATTTCTTATAGTTATTGTTTATTGTCTGTCTTCCCTCTGCTGGAATGTATACTCCATAAAGACAGGGACTTTTGTCTGTTTTGTTCACTGATGTATTCCAAGCACCTAGAATAGGGCCTGGCAGATAGGAGAGGTCCAACAAATATTTATTGAATGATTTCATTTTCATTTCCAGAGCAATTGGTGGAGATATGGATTGGCCAGGATCTTCTAGGGTTCAGAAAGGAAGGATATAAGAATGATCATCCTTAGCTTGGGCGGAAGAACGGCTCTACTTCCTGGCTTCTCCCTGTGTGTTGGTTGGTACCCCCTACCCCAAACGCTTCCCACCCTCAGAAACATCACCTGAGTATTTGTCAGGGTCACACTGGTGGCAAGAAGTTTCTCCTTTATTTGAGTAAGTGTTGGCTGGGCAAAGTTCACAGGAAGAGGAGCCCTGCTTGGCTGCATAGGTGCCGGGTTTGCAGGGGAAGCATTCTGACGTGTAGGCCACCCCTAGGGAGGAAGAACAGCATAGAAAAGCAAGGATTGAGCCCGGAGACTGAGCCCCTGGGGGCTGACTCCCCCATCCCGGCAAAGTCAAGAGGCCAGGAAGTCAGTAACAGACCCCAGATCCAACCCTGCTCTCCGTACCTGTTATGGCGATGTTTCTCACCAGCACAGGCTTAGAAACTTTGGACCACACCGAGAAGGCTGTGGTTCTCCAATAGAGGACATTGTTGCCTCGATTTAGCTCGACCTAAAATCCACAACAGGAGGTATTAGTTCATCACAGAGACAGATATTGCTAACCTGTCAGTTCAGCCTCCTTCTGGGATTCCCCCTTTTCCAGACTGCATGGCAGTGCCTATTCCGTCCCTCTCCCTCCACTTCCTCAGCTTTGCCCTTCCTCCCATCTTAGCTTAGCTTCTTTCTCTTTCTAAGCCTCCTGCTACAACCCTCCCATGTCCTCTGCCATTGCTCCATCAATCACATATGCCATGAGCATCTCTTATGTTGACACTGACAAAGGTACCTGAAAGTACTGAAAATAGGGTGACTGGCATTCTCTGCTTTTATAGACAACAGCCCCTACCCACAGAAAACCCAGCCTTAAAGCTGGAAAGCTGCTGGTCCTTGGGGTCAAGCCATAGGAACAAGTCAGCCCATGCCATGTTACATCTACTCAGCAGGAGAGGACACTGGAGGGACAGAAGGGTGGTAGCTCAGACTGGGAGGAAGCACTGTCAGAGGAAAGGCCCTGGGTCCCTTTTCTGGGAGCTCTAGGAGAAGGCAGCTGTGATACTCACACTGTGTAATTCCCATCCTTTCTCTGTGGTTTTCATCCACCTTGAGTCATCAGCATTGGGCTGGCACTGGTCATTCTGAACCTGAGGCAGCAGGAATTGGGATCAGAGTCTCAGCTTTCTAGGAAATGAGTGCCTTGCCCCATGCTGCACCAGCGCTCCAGAGGGCCCTTCTTATGGGAGAAGAGTGAGAAGAGTTGCCAATTTCCTTTAGAGACTGAGCTCAGAACACATGAGTGTTGAAGCAGGTGGGAGCTAGTTGCACAACACAAAATGTCTGAGCATTGACACCAAAGAAATAACTTGTAACTCACATATGCTGTTTTCGTGTCTGGGCAGGGCAAAACACCCACAAAGCTCCCAGACTCTATTCTTTCCCCTCAGGTCCTTTGACTTTTGCCTTTACTCCTCACCTCTTAAGGCCTCAGCTCATTTTCTTCTCTTCTCTTTTCTTTTTTTTACTGACCGGTAACAGGATCGCATCCCTCAGTGTCGCGCCTGTACCGGGGACCGGCAACGGGATCGCAACCCCCAGTGCTGCACCCGCACCACGCTCAGCCAGCGAGCGGGAACCGGTCTCCACATGGGATCCGAACCCTCGGCGGGAGTGCCACCACGCTCCCAAGCGGTGCACTCTCCAGTGCGCCACCGGGCCGGCCCCTCTTTTTTTTTTTTTTTTTTTTTTGACATCTGGCGGGTTGGGGGGATCTCAGCTCACTTCGCCCACAGTTCTCTCCAAAGGGAAGACAACTGTGATTGCCCAAGAGGGACTATGGTTGTGATTGATTCCCGGAAATGAATCTGAGCTCAGGGAGTTTTTACCTCCCACCCTCCCCCTTGGCCAGGGACTTACGAAAAACTCAAAGATGATGGTAGAGTCTGGGTAGTAGTATTCGAAGCTAACAGTGCCGGACTGCTTCAGGCTGACGGCGTACATCAGCGTGGCTGTGCATTCATCCGTGTTGGAGGTGATGTAGTTGCCTCGGGGGACCCACTTGGACCTGTGAGGGAACAAGAACCAAGTTCACTGGCAGGAGTGCGGTCTACCAGGCTTCGTGCCTGTGCAGGTCTCATGTTTTGCTAGGTCTCTGGGGAATTCCAGACTTGTGATTCACAAGCCAAAGCTTGGACTTGAAAATGGTCAGAGAAAAATGACAAAAGAAGCTCTAAGGTAGATCAAGAAGCCTGGGATACAGCCAGCAAGAGGAAGACAGGTGTACCTCCACATAACGCAGAACCACCCAGCAGATATATGGCAGATGAAGCTGGGGGTGGATAAATTGACTGATTGCTTATTACCTCCCAGGTATTGAACTACGTGTTTTATATTCATGCTTTCTTTTCATCAATAAGAGGAAGTGCTGTTTTTTCCCACTTCATAGCTGAAGAAACTGAGGCTTGGAGAGCACCTTGTCCAGTCTCACAAAGCCAGGAAGTGGGAGGGCTCAGATTCAAGCCCAGGTCTGCCTAGCAAGTCAGTAGACACAGATATTCTTCAAAACTCAGAAGTCCATCCAGTCTAGTCCACCTGTATTTCCAGAAATGTCCACTTTAAGATGCTGCATGTAAATGGTTTTTATGGGAAGGGGGAAGGCCAGAGAACTCCCGAGACAATCAATCTAGTTGTGCTTGTTTTGTATCCTAAATATATCTCAGCTCTATCCACCCTGCCAAGGTCTCTCTGCATGGCCACCACCACATCGTTTCTGAACTAGCCTCTGAACTTGTGTCCCTGCACCCAGTCCTGCATCCTCTAGCCCCTCTTTATGCTGTGGCTGGAGAGATCCTCCAGAACAAAAACCTGACCACATCACTCCCGTGCTTAAGACGCCTGTGACTGATAGTGTACACATTCCTGGCCCACTCTTTACACTCCAGCCCTTTGGAAATTCTTCTGCCAAACTTACGAATTTGTAAACAATACACTGTATGGGAGTGTTTTGTGTGTTTTTAAACTTTATGTAAATGGTATCATACTTATGTGTTCTATAACTTGCTTTTGCGGGGAGGGCAGAGCTTCAACATAATGATAGTGGGATCCATCCATATTCACACATATAACTCTTCTCCCTTCATTTTACTACCGCATAATGTTCCTCTGTATGGCTTTACCATGTTTATTTATACATTGCTTGTTGATGGACATTTAGATAGTTTCCAGTTATTGGCTACTGTGCATACTCTGCTGTAAACATTCTTGTTCCTGTCTCCTTATACCATGTCCGAGTGGAATGCCTGGAAGTAGAGCCGCTGTGTCACAGGGTATGGGAACCTCCACCTTTACCAGCCGCTGCCACATTGTTCTCCAAAGTGGTTGTATCGGGGCCGGCCTGTGGCTCACTCAGGAGAGTGCGGTGCTGATAACACCAAGGCCCCGGGTTCGGATCCCATATAGGGATGGCCGGTTTGCTCACTGGCTGAGCGTGGTGCTGACAACACCAAGTCAAGGGTTAAGATCCCCTTACCGGTCATCTTTA